AACTATTCGACCAGCAGTGATAGTGAAGAAAATAATGATGAAACTAAGGCAGGTATATGCATCATTAATTTGACAGAAATTGAATTTGTTTTCTGAAAATTAAATGGGAAATTATTTAAAACTAGTTTGTAGATAAGTCATAAAGGATGTTTTAAAAAATGAAAAAAAAAAAAAAAACAGTAAAGAAAGTCTTAAAGTCGGGCGGGGCCGACTTTATAATACCCTACACCACTTTTCTAATTTAGTAGAGCTACACATAACAATTAAAAGTTTTTATGGGAGAATTCAATCATACACGCTATGATTATAATTATAACTTAAAGTTCAAAGGACTAAATATGCCGAAGCATTTATATTTTTAAAATTCGAAATTGTATTGCCCATTTGGATAAAGATATATATGGGAGCTATATCCAAATCTGAACCGATCTCGATAAAATTCGGCAAAGATATTTCTGAGCTGTATTTGATATATTTCCCAGAATATCGTTGTTACGGAGTGCATATTACGGCGGCAGTGGACAAAAATAACAAATCGGATGAACAATATATATGGGAGCTATAGCTATATCTGAACCGATTTCCATCAAATTTGGCATACTAGCTTCCAGACTCAATAGACTCGTAAGTGCCAAATTCCATCCCATTTGGACAAATATTAGACGTTTGGTGCACAATAAAAAGTAAATCGGACGAAGTTATAAATGGGAGCTATATCCAAATCTGAACCGATCTCGATAAAATTTAGCAAATGCATTCCTGAACTGTATTTGATATATTTTCCCAAATATTGTTGTTGCAGAGTGCATATTACGGCGGCGGTGGACAAAAAGAACAAATCGGATGAACAATATATATGGGAGCTATAGCTATATCTGAACCGATTTCGATCAAATTTGGCATACATATTTTCAGGCCTAATTTGGGTATATATGCAAAATTCCATACAATTCGGGCTGATATTACACGTTTGGTGCGCAATAAAAGGCAAATCGGACGAAGATATATATGGGAGCTATATCTAAATTTTGACCGATTATTTCCAATTTCAATAGGGTTCGTCCTTGGGCCAAACAAATGATCTGTGCAAAATTTCATCTGGATCGGGTAATAAATGCGACCTGTACTTTGTTTACAAAAATACATGGACAGACGGACGGACAGACGGACGGACGGACGGACAGACGGACGGACGGACAGACAGACGGACGGACATGCATAAATCGACTCAGAATGTGATTCTATGCAGATCATCAAAAGGAACTATGGGTCTATCTCGTTTCCTTCTGCCTGTTACAAACAAATGCACAAAGACATAATACCCTGACCACCTTGTGGTGTAGGGTATAAAAATGTAAAAATGGGGTCCCTGTCAAAACTTGAAATGATATTGACTTGTTGGCTGACTTTTTTTTTAACTAATGAAAGCTCAAATTGAAAAATTAGAATTCATATAAAGGGTGAGATAAAAAAAACTGCAACAAAGTCAAAAGCCATAATTTTTACAAAAAAAAAAAAAAAAATTGTCGGAAATAGCATCAAAGTTTAGATTTTTTGGAATTGATCACCTTCGGCACGAATTATGGCTTTCAAAAAGCAAATGAAACTGTCACACGCTGCCCGAATGTTGCTCTGCGGTATTTTAGTTCATTCCCGGCGAAGCGCTTGCTTGAGGTGATCGACACTTTGATATTTTTTAGTGCCAACCTTGCTTTCCAAAATACCTCAGAAACAATAGTCCAACGGATTGGTATCCGGAGATATTAGTGGCCATTGTGCGCTGTATATGAAGCGAATAATCTCATTTTGTAACCATTTTTGGGTGGCGCGTGCTGAGTGCGATGGTGCTGAGTCTTTTTGGAATCTCCACGGTCTGCGGCCTAAATATTTGTGTGCCCTCCAGAATATTTTCGCGGTAATATTCATCGTTTATTCTGATGCCATGGTCGATTAATACGAGCGGAGAGCGACCATCGGCTGTTATGGCGGGCCACACCATCACCATGGCCGGCGCTTGAGTTTTGGTGGCCAACCGAAGGTGCACATTTTCAGCTGACCTCTTTGGCAAGTAAACACGACCATTTTGTTTGTTTACAAATTGCTGGAAAACGAGTGTTTTCTCATCGGAGAAAAACCAAATTCGGCAGTTCACCACTTTACGTCAAGCGAAGCAACTTTTTAGCTCTTTTGGGTCTATTTTTCTTTCTGTTGCGGTGTAAGTTCTTGCACTTTTTGGAATTTCAATGGCTTTACCCCGAGCTCATTTTTCAATATTTGCCGAATGGAATATTGCGATATGTTCAGCTCAGGAGCCATTTTTCGGTCACTGCGACGCGGGTTTCGATCAAGTCGCTTCTTTACTTTTCGAACCATTTCTGCTGATGTTGCTGTTTTCTTCCGTCCACTTCTTTGACATCGGGCTACGCTACCAGTATCACGGTAATGAGCGATGGTACGAGACACAAAAGACTTATTCACATGTAAATGCTGGAGTGTTTTAACGATAGCCACTTTTGAATTTCCAGCCAAATATAAAGAAATCGCACTATCACGCTTGAATTACATCACAAATAACTTTTTGTCTGGAAAATTCTCACAAAAATGCTTTTGTACGCTTGAAAACAATATAATGAGCTGTCACTGGAATAATTTTAACAGTGTCTGACGAGTGGCTTAGAAATGACAGCAGTCTGAATTTGGTTGCAGTTTTTTTCATTTCACCCTGTATGGTGGCTATACTTATACATAACCTCTTATATATCCTTTCTAATACCAAACATCCTAGTAGTAATATCTAATTCTAATTCTCTAAATAAGGTAGAATTCTGAAGTTGGAAGTGAGAGCCACTGATGGAGAGAGATAGATTACTGAAGGGTTTTGGAAATCCAGACTTTAAAGTTACAAAAAGTTCTAAAATTTTCCTAAACTTTTAAAATCTTACCTTTTGGTATTGTGTGAGCGGATAGAGCAAAAAATTAGAAATTTGGCATGAGAAGGTTGAAAAGTATGTTTTGTATATGAAGGTGGTTTCGGAAATGTGTACTAAGTGTGCGAACTGTACTAAATTTGGAACATTTTGGTTTAGGATGAGCTGATGAAACTGGAATTTTTAACTTTGTATTGAGATCCCTGTTGGTGGTAGGTTTGTGATTAAGAGATAGTTTCTGAAATGTGTACTACAAATGCACGAAAAGATCTAAATAGTACTAGTACAATTTGTGCATTTTATGAAAATATAGCGCTTGAAATCTGAAATTTGGTATTTGGGTTGCTGCTCATGTGTAGTCTTTACGTATGGAAGTGGTTTTAGAAAAATTTACTATAATTGTACGAAAAGAACTGAATGGTACTATATTTCGTATTGGGTGAACAGATAGCGATGCAATTCTGAAATTTGATATTTAGATATATGATGGTTTGGAGGAGAATTTGGAAATGCTTACTAAATTTGTTCGAAAAGTACTTAGTGGAACTAAATTTGGTATTGCTTGAAGGAATAGAGCTGGAATCCCGAAATTTGATATTGAAGGTCCTGATAGCTGTTTTTATGATATGGAAGTGGTTTTGAACATGCGTACTATAATTGTTCGAAATGTACTAAATGGTACTATTTTTGGATCACTGTTGGTTTCTAGAATGAAGAGATGTTAATAGTTTCGGATATTCATAATAAATGTTACTAAATTTGAAAATGAGTGAAAGGATGGAAATTTTTATATTCAATTTTGAGATCCCTATTGGTTTCTAGTGTTTATATTGGGAACGTTAAAATGGTTGATACAACCTTTTTGTCCAATCCTAAAATAACCCTAAAATATCGTACTGTAGGGTATAGATGTTTCACAGAGGAATTTTAAGGTGTTTTAATGTCTTGTACTAAATATCCTTGATAGAGGAACCATTTTACGGTAAACGTCAAATCGACAGAAACAGGAGCCCTATTTATATCACTTGTTTGCATGGGACAAAGACAACTAAAAATTGCCGTTAAATTCGGTTGGGCGAACAATTGATAACCTTTTTATCAAACGAGAACGGAAAAGCCCAAAACGAGAAAATAACCCAAATTAAACTGGGATCTGGGATGTTATTCATTTCCCCATATAGATAGGCAAAAAATTTCAAATCATATTGCCTGTCCGACCTGGCTTTTATTGTTTCCTTACAGTAAAATGTATTCGATCATTTGAAGTTAAATGGTTGCAAAGTCCATTAAATATATTTCTTTGTTATTTTCACTGATATAATTTCATTTGATTATTTGAATATTATTGTATTTCCATATCGGTATATGTTCACATTAGATTTTTTTCTAAATATCATCTATAACTTCCAACATGAAGAGGACAAATATATTCTTATCGAATAAAAATCCCTGTATTTTGTAAACTACACTCACAAGGGAAACTACCCAGTAATCTTTGGATAAGCAGTAAATCATTGCCAGGTAAATTCTTGGTATTGTGCAATAGACTGGCAAGCCTCTAGCTGCCTGCTATTTACATACATATGTATGTATGTAATAAAGAACATGAGTTCAAAGGTATGTAATCTACAGAGTTGAGTTGCAGCTAGCTACCTGTTCAGTGATCAGCTGTTCTGGAGGAATATTAAAAGGTCGCAAATGGTATGGTAAATTTCTATGGAACCATAGAGGGCAATTAATCCTTGTTGCAGACAGCTAGTCACACACGTTCAGTGCCTACATAACCTTTGTGGTTTTTCAGTAGCATTTTTCATTTCGAGACGAACGCATTCATATTTCTTCTTCAGCGTATACAAATCGGAATAGTTCTCCTCGCAACTTATCGTCTTAAATATTTAAATGTTACATCAAAATCGAGTACATTTTCAAGATATTGTACAATTGTATTTTTATCAAAATAAAATTGTAACAGCAGCTGATATTGAGGTTATTATTTATTTTGTTGTGGTTTCAAATAAAAATATATGTGAAAATTGAGTAATTAATATTTGTGTGTTTTTTCTGTGTTTAAAGGTTGTCGATGATATATCCGGTTCCGTTACCATTAGTATACCCGAACAAAAAAGTGTTCCCACCATTCAAATCGAAAAGCCTGATGACGACAGTGATGATGAATTGGAAATACATGGCAAAAGGAGGTAAGTCTAGAAAATAACATGTATTTTAATATTTGGAACTTAGAACATTTTTCAAAAAAACAAGAGAAGTTATCTACCCCTTTTAAATGGTTATTTTAATATTTAGTAGGTGTATAACCTAAAAGAAGCCTGATAGCTTAACTGTGTCGCAGAGTGTCATTGTAAGGCTACAAACCATATGGGTTGTGAATTCGATACTCAGGGATGACATTAAAATAAATATGTAAATGCCAGTTTTTCCAATATTTTTCGAACCCATTGACCAATTTTTGTGTGGATGTATTTACCTCCAAAGATTTCAAAATACCACATAGTAGCCACTACAGCTAGAAATGTGTTTAGTATCTTCAAAAAGCGGACTAATTCAAAATCAGAGACGATATGGAAAATTGTCGTATGTTCATTCAATAAAAACACATTTTTATACCATACACCACAGAGTGGTAAGGGTATTATGGCTTTGTGCATTTGTTTATAACATGAAGAAGGAAGCGAGATAGACCCATAGTTACTTTTGAGGATCTTCATAGAATCTATGAGTCGTCCATGTATTTTTGTGCAGGTAGCATTTATTATCCGATTGAGATAAAAATTCCAAAAAATATTTGTTTGGTGAGAAACGGTTCAAATTTAGATATAGCACCCATATATATCATAAACAGATTTCGGGTTAATTGTGCACCAAATGACCTTTTGGCACATACAATCGAATTCGGTCTACAAGCAAGTACATCAAATTTGGAGAAAATCGGTTCAGATATAGCTGTAACTTCCATAAATATGTTTCATCCGTAATATGCACTCCAGAAGAATGATATTTGGTACCTGAGAACTTGTGGAGCTCAAAAATACTATTGCTAATTTTTATCGAGATCGTATCAGATTGGGATATAGCTCCCACATGAATCTTTTTCCGATATCAGGTTTATTGTGCACCAAATGGCTACTATAAGCCAAAATGGATTGAATTTTGACACTTCCGACGGAATTCAGCCCAGAAGTAAGTGCTTTAAATTTTGGTGAAAATCGTCCTATCCTATATATATGTTTTATCCGATTTGGTGTTTAAGTCCCTCACATGCGTAATATGAACTCCACAATAATAATATTTAATACCAGATATAAGATACAGCTCAGAAATAAGTGTTTAAATTTTTTCAGGCATTTTGTGCACCAAGGGCTAATAACAGCCCAAATAAACTAAATTTTGGAACTTCCGGCGAAATTCAGTCTAAAAGCAAGTACTAGCTAGCTCCCACATGTATCTTTTTCCAATATCAGGTTTATTGTGCACCAAATGGCTACTATAAGCCAAAATGGACTGAATTTTGACACTTCCGACGGAATTCAGCCCAGAAGCAAGTGCTTTAAATTTTGGTGAAAATCGTCCTATCCTATATATATGTTTTATTCGATTTGGTGTTTAAGTCCCTCACATGCGTAATATGAACTCCACAATAATAATATTTAATACCAGATATAAGATATAGCTCAGAAATAAGTGTTTAAATTTTTTCAGGCATTTTGTGCACCAAAGGGCTAATAACAGCCCAAATAAACTACATTTTGGAACTTCCGACGAAATTCAGTCTAAAAGCAAGTACTTCCAATTTTGGTGAAAATCGGTTCAAATATGGATGTAGCTCTCATCAGCGTAATAGCGTAATATGCACTCCACAACAATGATATTTGATACCGAACATCATTTACTGCTCGAAAATGCCTCTGCCAAATTTTATCGAGATCGGTTTACATATATATATATACATCTTCATCCGAGTTTACGGTTATTTCCCACCATATATGTGATATCAGCCCAAATTGGATAGATTTTTCATATTGAACCGAATTTTTCTATTGTTCCAATAAATATGTTTTAATATTATCCTGTATCATGCAGTATACAGCAATTTTATTTGGTTCATAGTTGGTATGATCTATTTCACATAAATTCTCAATATAAACTTTTTTGGTACGTGAGCTCAACTAAATACGCATAGTGGTGTAGGGTATCAAATGGTCGGCGCCGCCCGACTTTTGACCTTTCGATTTGAGTTTTTCCACTTCAGGAGGATCATTTTGTTTATTAACGTCGCAATGCACAACGCCTAGATAGAGAATGTATTAACTTTAATATTCACTTAAAAAAACATACAAATATTTGACCAACAATTAATAAAGATCTCTGTCACATCCCACCACAATTTGCTACTGCAGATATTTGAATAAATATTAAATTCATAGAATATGACTATCAAAATCCACTGAATTTTCTATTAAACTATACAACAATACAAGTTTTATCTATCTTCTTGGAAACACAAACACCAAATGGAGGTGTTTTTCTAAAAAATTAAGCCTTCACATTCAAACTCTTAAAACGACATTGAAGAGAAAAATGAGATAACTGAGAATCTAAATCTAAGAGAGTTTCACTCAACAAAAACTGTTTACTCTCGGAGTATAGATCTGGTAACTTCAAGATAATCATGTTAAGTGCAGGTGATTAAATTTAAAACGTCTGTTATTTCCATAACAGAAATGAAGATTAAAATTGTTTTTATATAAAAATACCCTACATACAAACAATATATGCGCACTTTACAGAGAAATAAGACAACGAGTGTTTATTTGCAAGTAAAATATGTGAAAGATAATTTGATTAATTTCAAGGTTTTTAGTTTAGAATTTTTAAAGATGTTAAAGAAAATTATGGCAAAACATGTTTATTTACAAATGTTCTTTATTATTCATCGTACAGTGTTTCAGAATATGTTTTTGCATAACAAAATGTGTAACGTTTGTAAATAATGCAATTAATAATCGGACTGGGAATATATTAGACTTTCCTTTAATTAAAATATTGTCAAAATCGGCTCAGTTGTTCCTGAGATATTTGGAGTTTGAAATACAACTTTTGATTTGATTTAATTGCGTTTTTTATTTTAATGGTATTTTGTTTTTAACAAAAGTATTTTTGCAAAAAATAGATGGAGAAAAGCTGCTAAAAACTGCAAAATTATAAAAGGAATACTATCCCCAATATATATTGTAATTTTTTGAATAATTTTCATTGACAACTTTCAAAATTCTTCCAAGGGTCTCCGAGAATAAAAAAAAAACTGAACAAGATTACTTATTGGGGTGTTTATTTTGATGATAAATTTTGATGAATACAAATAAAAAATTCGTAGCATAATTTAATATGATTGGAGTTAATATATATTCAAAGAGAGTAGGTGATTGACTAACTGATGTATGGAAACCACTTCCTTGATGTATGGAAGTAACATTATTCTTATACTAAGCTGTAGCTCCCATATATATGTTTCATCCGATTTGGTGTTAAAGTTCCTCACATAAATAATATGCACTCCACTACAATGATATTTAATACCGGACATCGAAAATACCTCTGCCAAATATTATTGAGATCGTTTCAGATTTTTATATAGCTTCGATATACATATTCATCCGATTACACGGTTATTGCCCACCATATATGTAATATCAGCCCAAATTGAATAGATTTTTTCATTTTCAACCGAATTTTACCATTTGGTGAAACTTGGTCCGGTATATTGCTTCAATAAATACCTTTTTAATATAATCCTTATGGAAGACATATCACTCACAGCACTATACAGCAAATTTATTTGGTTCACAGTTGGTAAATTCCCAATATAAACTTTTTTATACGGAAGCTCTATTAAATACGCATAGTTGAGTAGGGTATCATATATTCGGCACCGCCCGAGTTTTGATCTTTCCTTACTGGTTTAGTACCTCTTAGTACATTTACTGATCGAATTTCCAAAAAAAAAAAAAAAAAAAACGCATCTTATTCTCACCCCTACACTCCAATATTGACCTACATGAAAAACTACAAGTTTCAAATATTTTCGATTTTATGCGAAAATTAATTTGATTTCTTGACAGCAGCAAATGATAAGACTGTGGGTATAAAAATAGTTGTCTAAAAGTACGTGACTAGGAGGATCTCCAAGCGTTTTGAGATTTTTCCTACAAGCCAACGATCTAAATAGTATGCATTGTGTAGGGTATACAAATTACTTAATTATATAGCAAATAGACATAACTAATAAAAAGCCGATAAAAATAACTCAGTTCCAGTTATTTTTAATAATAAAAGAAAATAAAAAAATCAAATTGATGCATAAATTTGCATAAATCTATAGGAATGTCTAAGCTGTCTTAAAACACAAATCGTGTGGTATCAATTTGACTTCTGAGCAAATATTAAAAAACGTCTAGATTCACAATCCCACAAAAAGTTTCCAACGTTTATAAAAAAATCAAATATAAACTCACGCTTTGAGAAGAATTTTAATTTTTTGCGGCACAAGTTCGCCGGTTTATCTCTTGGGGCTTGAAACGTACACACTCATTACTCCCCAAACTACAGACAGATAATCTTTCAACGTTTGTTTTGATTTGATGTACACAGAAGAGAGGGCCAATGAGAGTGAATAAATGTTTTCGGAAAATTTTGAGCAACCTCTGCTAAGTCAAGTCAGTGCTGGAATAAACTCGAAAGTGATAAGATCGTTGGATTTGGAACGCAGTATATCGGATCGGTATTGTCAAACAAACAGAAAAGACAAAAAAAAAAAAAAAAAACAAAACAACAAAAATCGGGAAAAAGAATGAGCGTCTGAATTAAATGAAATTATTCTGTTACTAATACGTCGCAGACAATCTTCCTCGGCTTCGCATGGTGTGTATTATATGGATAGCTGTGATTTAATTAAACTAAATCTCAGTAGGGAAATGTATAATAAGAAAATGTTTGATTAAAACAATAAGAAAATTGCAATTGGTTTCAATTTTTGAGAAAATATATTTTTATGAAATGATAGCCAAAAACTTTGGTATTATAAAAAAGTGCCAAAAAAGAAGGAATATATGGATGTCGGTCCAAAAATTAATCATTTGCCGTCTATATGAATATAAGCGTATCTTTTCTTTAGCAGCATAGG